ATATATATATATACATGTTGCAAATTTTGCATAAGATTTGATAATATATATTTTTTTCATGCTAATGCAAGATTATCAAAATTTTCATAAAAGTAAATATTTCAAAGAGTAAATTGTAATTTTGGTCCTGTGACTATTCAGGTTTTGTTAATTGCAATCCATGACTTTTAAAGCTGTTAATTTAGTATTTTAACTATTCAAAGTTTATCAATTTTGTTCACTCCGACTAAATTACCGGCTAAAACTTACCGAAAAATTTTAATAGTTAAAATAATGAGAGTGTTTTAATTTTTTTGCACCTTGTTTCTTTATCCCTCATTTCTTCGTCGGATGTGGATCTGCAAATTCCACATTTAGTCTTTTATTTTGTTAAACTTTAACGGGTATCGTTCTCTTCTTATAATATAAAATTTAAAAAATCCATTCTAAATAGTTTTGACAAAATGCATCAATTACCAAATAATAGGAAAGTTAGAAGTATTACATCAACATGCTGAATTGCTGACGGAACATTCACAACCAATAAATGGGGTTTAAAACGGATGCATGGAAAAAACTAACATTTCCAAAAACGCAAAAAAAAAAAAAAAAAAAAAAAAAAAAAAAAAAAACAGAGTGTAATTTATTTGTTTTACAATCATCCAAATGAGTGCGTGTTACTTTCACAAGCAAACCCAACACCGCTGAGACAGCAAAAGAAAACAGCAACGAGGCCTTAATTAGCTTCAATACAATACCAAGGGAATTTATATCCTACACCACGGCGTGCGTTGCACTTTGCGCCCAGATACAAAACAACGTTGTTTTAATTTTTTTTTTTTTTTGAAATTTCCTGCCCCAGTGTATGGCAGTTATTTTTTCTTTAAAAAAAAACCCCTGTTCAAAAATGTACATAATGGTATACTAGAATACACATAATTGTATACATGAATGTACATAATTATATAACAAAATATACATACTCTTTTTAAAAGATAATACACATAATCTAACATAATACATAATAAACATAAACTTTTAACATAATACACATCAACTCTTAACATAATACACACAAATTTTCTGATTCGGATGTACATAATTGTATAAAAAGAATGTACATAATTGTAAAAAAAATGTACATAACTGTATAAACAAATATACATAATTGTATGAACAAATATACATAATTGTGTGAACAAATATACATAATCATAGCAACTTCCTACCGCGCCTCCCAAAACGACGTCGTTTTGGTCATTTTGGGAGGCGCGCGGCGTACAGTGCTACGCGCGCGGGTGGTGTAGGGTATAACGATTGCAATACCAAACTTCCAAATTGAAAGTAGCAAACAGACTTGAACCACCACATATCTGAGCAAATCATAATAATTAAGAAAATTAATTAGTGCAATCAAGCTCAAACTAACTGCTCAAAATATAAAGGAAAACTAACACTTTTCCCTCTTAAATTATATATTTATAACGTGTTTAACCCTTGAATTATTTATGTATCCGTATTAGTCTCGAAATATTAAAAATTACATGTTATTGCTTTCTTCTCAACTTTTAAAATATTAGGAGTGAAAAGAAGGCAATATGCCTTCTTCTCAACTTTTAAAAAATTGGGAGTGAAAAGAAGGTAATATCTTTGCCTTCTTTTTAACATTTACCTATAGGATTTTAAAAAGAAGGTAATGACATTATTACTTTTCACAAAATTATTTAGGATTTTAAATCTACGCAATTTTGTCTCATTCTTGTCAAATCTACATATTTTCTATTGTCTCAGAAAATGATCATTTTTAAAATAATTGAGGAAGTTAATGTGAATATATACTTAAATAATTCAGGAGAAGAAGCACTATAAACATATAATTCAAAAGAAAAAAAAAAAGTCTAATTTATAAAACAACAACAAAATAGTAATTGAAAGCAGTACTCAGAGGAGAAAATATAAACAATTCGACTGACCTCATGTCGGAATCCCTGATAAGAGGATATAAAAATAGATAGGTATTTTTGTTTTGTTTTTTTTTTTTTTTTCTTGTTTTTTGTTTTGTTTTTTTTTTTTTTTGTTTTTGTTTTTGTTTTTTGTTTTTTGTTTTTTTTTGTTTTTGTTTTTGTTTTTGTTTTTTTGTTTTTTTTCATCCATATCAATAAAAAAAAAATCAACAAAGTAACAATATACAGTTTGGTCACTAAGCAAAATCCCAATGAAAACTACTACACCATCCAGCCAGCTTAACACGTACATCAACTTAGAAAGAAATTCACATCACTGCCCAAACGATTCAAGTCACACACGTACCTGAAGAAAAATTAAATACACAACTAGCTTAGTTGAAATAATCACCCTAAGAATAATTATTACTCCGTAATACATAAAAATAATTAATTTAATTTGTTATATCTAAGAAACTAAAAATAATATTTTAAAACATACTAATTTAAAAAAAAAAAAATGTGATTAACCTTTTGGGACAGAGGTATAAATTACTTACTATTTCTTGTTCCGGATTAGAGGGGCTGGGGATGTCGGATCCAATAGTGTTGACATTTTCCTCCCCATATGCTTGCTCATGTACCTGTATGCATGTAGGAATAATAATACATACATTTTACTATACCTTTGTAATATCTTCTTTAATTTTCTGGAATATAATATATATAAATTTAGTAACCACTTACTACTGCTGCTTGTGACATACGGAAGAGATCTGATGAGGAGTTCAAATCTAGCGATTGTATCATCACGAATCTGTTTTGCAGAATTTTCTACTCTTTCATGCACGTGAAACAATTCCATCACTTTAAGACTGGGTACCTTAGCAAAAGCATATGGAAAGTTTTTTAGGGAAATGCAGTTTCTAAGTACTAGACTTTCTAAAACTGGAAAGCTGCTTTCATCCTCAACTGTCCATGTTACTAGGTTCGTCTTTCCAATGCGCAAATACTTGAGTCCTTTGAAACTAATATCAGGACTTAGATCCCAGCGTTCCCCAGAGAAGGCATTGTCATCCAATTTGAGCACTTCAAGCATCTCTAGTGATCCCAATACAGTCATGTCATTCCATTGGAACAATGTACCACACAAGGTTAACTTTCTTAGCTTACTTGCAAACTTATCCAACATTGGGACCTTTAACGGCCCTTCCTCAGAGTTGCCATGAAGCTTTAAGTTCTCGAGGCAGTTTAGCATTTGAAGAAGATTGTTGAACAAGCAAACTGCTTGATGATCTTGTTGTTGGAGAAGCCCTAACTCTGATAAATTTCCACGTACACCCAATTTTTGGAGATTTGGGATCTTTCGAAAGATCTTTTCTGTGCAACTTGCTGGCGATATTGTACAAAGTGTGCAGATGCTTGTTCCACCAGAGCTATTTTTGGGAGGGGAGGGTAATTGTGTAGAGGTGTTGGTGTGGACATGCATTAGCTTTTTCATGTTCCATATGCCTCCATCAATTTGTAGCGTGGGTTCTTTGGTATTGATCACCAAAGTCTCCAATTCACCAAAATTTTTGAATGACTTATGCAGGAAATTGAGATTATTGGCTCTGATAGAAAGATACCTGAGAAGATATAAGCCATAAATATCATTCGGTACCAAGCTAGACCTGAGTTGTTGCTCAATATTTAACACCTTAAGATGTGCAAAAGTGTTTGAGATAGTTGCTAACTGTTCTTGTGTCACATCAATAATCTCACCCCATTGATATGGGGAAAACAGTGACAAAGAATGGACGTGTTTACCAAATGGACTCCTCCTCCTCTTGTTGAAGCAACTGAGGTATAAACGAGATGGATTCTTTTCTGCCTCTAATAATATGTCCCAAGTATAGGAGTGGAAACAAATACGACGACTAATTGAAGAAGAAGAAGTATTCTCATCATCATCTAACTTCCGTTCCTCATAATCCATTACCTTAAATAAATTTTTCCTTGTAGCTTCACTTCTGCAGAAATCGTGAATTACGTTGTGGATGTAACATATTTTGATTTGACCATCTGCTCTTCTTTTCCTCACAATCACAAGATTTCTATCAACAAGATCATTCAAATATTTTTGAGCTTCAACTTCTACGTCTAAAGGGTATCCAAACTCATCTATAATTGGAATGAATTCTTCAGCAATCCATAAACGGATTAATTTCCAAACAGCAATGTCATGTCCTTGGGGAAAATATGCAAAATATAAGAAGCAATTTTTCAACATCTCATGAGGCAAATATTTATAACCCAACTTTATTAGCTCATGGAAACTCTGGCGTTCTTGAGGAATTCCTGAAAGTAAATTTTCAGCCATTCGTTGCCAGTCAACAATAGTTGTACACTTACGTAAGACGCCAGCAACCATTACTAGAGCAAGAGGTAGTCCTTTGCATAGTTTTGCAATTCTTCTCCCGATCTCTGCAAAAGATGGGTCCCCGCAGCCCATTTCACCAAAAACTATTTTTTCTATTATCAACCAACCATCATCATCGCTTAACAATTCTAGCTTATGAGATTTCCAGGTAGAATCTACTAGATAGTCACTTCGAGTAGTCACCAGGACTCTACTTCCATTCAAATCTTCTGGAAATACAACTTTGAAATAATCCCAAACTTTTTTGTCCCATACATCATCCAATACAATGAAGTATCTTTTACCCTTCAATAAATTCCATATTTTATGTGCCACTACATCTTCTGGAACCATGCTAAAGTCTTCTTTATGCTTGGTAATTTGATATAGAATGCTGATGAAACTTTGCTTTCTATCAAAGTACTGTGAAACATGAACCCATATGCAATGGGTGAACTTTTGTATAATTTGTGGGTCTTTAAAAAGCGTTGAAGCAAAGGTAGTTTTGCCAGTACCACCCACCCCCACAATTGCAATGACAATCAAATTATTGGATGCCTCCATTACACTACCTTTTATGGTTTCCAAATCAGTCTTCAATCTCTTATTTTCATGTATCACCGGTCCAGTCTGAAAATTTAAAGGAGAAAATTCATGAAAACGCGAAACTCATACTAATCAAGTGCTGTGGGAGGGTGGAACGAAGGAAACAAAATTGAAATTCACTTTCAAATCATTAGTACAATGTGCACTGTCCAAATGTTCAAACTAATTATAATATTTGTTTTTGAACCTTGATGCAATATATACCATATTTAATTTTAACATAACTAAGCAATTCAAAAAATTCTATATATAGAGGTGTATGTAGTTGGTTGGAATACTATAGAGGTCAATGTTTGTCTATTGATCAAAGGATTTGAGGAACTAAGTTGGCTCTAACATAAAAAGATGAGTCATCTTAATTTTAAGACGATCAATAAGCTAGTCTGGAAGGATCTGGTTGTTGGATTATAGACTTAGTCTTTGATAAAAGGGGATTATGCTACACCTATCAAAAGGGAAAGCTGATTCGATCCTCATTATATTCAAGGAAAAACCTCATTCCTCATCATCAAGGCCCTTAAGCTTGTTACATATGGATTTATATAGACCAGTTAATTCACCGAGCATCATTGGGAAAAAAAAAATACTCTTGTGATAGTGGATGATTATACAAGATATACATAGGTAATATAATCTTCCTTAGCGAAAAGAGCGAGACTCTTAGAAGCTTACCAGAAATATTCAAATTGCTTCAAAATGAGAATGCGTTATCAATTGTAAAAATTTGATCAAATAGGGGTACCTAATTTGTGAATTAGTTAATCAAGGAATTCTGTGAAACAAATAGAATTTTTCATCAACTATCAGTAGTTGGGAGCCCTCAGCAAAATGGTACGGTGTAGTAGAAAAGAGGAATCGCACCATCAAGGAGTCTGTGCACATTATGATAGCAAAAGCCAAGTTGCCTAAAAGGTTTTGGGTAGAAGTAGCTAACACTACATGCTACATTCAAAATTGTTATGTGATTCATAAGCTTCATCAGAATACACCATATGAGATTTGGAACTAAAGGAAACCAAACATCTCATATTTTTATACGTTTGGTTGCAAGTTCTTTGCTTATCATAATGGGTGATCCTAACTTTGTGTGTTTGATGAAAAAGATGATGAAGCTATATTTCTAGTCTACTCTTAAACTGGCAAGGCATTCAAAGTTCTAAATAAAAGAACCATCCATGGTCACCAAGGAGTCAATTCATGTTGTTTTTACAAGCATGTGATAAATTCTAATGATATAATTGATAAGATCACCGAAGATGTTCAAAAATAGAATATCAGTGGTCATCCTTATCCAATGCTACCTTGCAACATCCTACCCGAAGAAGACGATGAGGATGAAGAAGATCGTGCAAATCGGAAGGAGGCGGAAGTACATCAATGGAAGCAGGGACGGAGCCAGAGGGGAGCAGGGGGGTCAGCTGCCCCCCTCACCCCACCCCACCCCATATATAGTCTTTGTATAATTGTATGTATATATGTATATATAGTACAGGTTTTAGTATTAGTATAAAAAAACTACTAAATCTTAATAAGTAGTGAGTTAGAGTAGTTGGTAGAGCATGTGTTTGAAAATAGTAAAGGTCAATGGTTCAAATTTTGTTATCAACAGTTAGTTTATAATAGCTTTTTTGTGTATTTAATACACACACATATATATAACATTCTTTTATATTAATAATGAGATGTATAATTTATAATCTGTTTTCTATCAAAATTATTTTATCAAATTAATTATGTTTCATATTTTGTTATGAATATTTTTATAAAGTTTCGATGTGTTTTATTTTTCGCCCATATCCAACAATATTTACAACTATATTTCTTAGGTAAATAATGAGATGTATAATTTATAATGTGTTTTCTATTCAAATTAATTATGTTTTATATTTTGTTATGAATATTTTTATAAAGTTTTGATGTGTTTTATTTTTCGTCCATATCCAACAATATTTACAACTATATTTCTTAGGTAATTTATTTATTTATTTTTAAACTATCTCTTTTGTTTTAATGTTTCGCCTTTACTGGAAAATTTTTTTGAATCCGTTTGTACTTTTTCGCTCCCCCTCGACTAAATTTCTGGCTCCATCCCTGAATGGAAGGACTTATTTTAAGCTTTATATGTTTTACCAAACAGTGGTTATAACTCATTTGTATATTAAAATGAGTTCTAAGCTCTACCAAACCTAGACTTCAAATTATGCTACATTTTAAAATTTTTATCTAAAATTGATATAATCTAAAAGATACTGAGATGAGTAGTGTCGTCAAAATGGGCTTAGCTCACAAGGCTAGACTGTACCGACCCACCAAAAGGGCGGGGCTAGCTTTGAATTTTATGGCCCGCCAAATTAGCGGGCTTTTTAGTCTGCCTCGCCAAATGGCTGGATTTGGCGGGCTGCACCGGAGCCTGCCTAGTAGGTATACATTACTAACATTAGTGTGCATATATACATAGGGTGTGTTTGGTTCGCATATAGGAATCGGAATCAGAATGAGTATCAAATACTTGGTAATGGTAATGGGTTTTGGTGAAAGTATTTAACATGTTTGGTAGTATGGTGGAATGAGAATGGTTACTAATAGTAGTGCTTGAGAATGAATAAGGGAATGAAACCCTTATTGTATTTGGGTATGGGTTTTTCAATTGATGGGGTATTCGAAACCCATAGTAGTGTTCTAAAAACCTATCAACCAAACAACAACAATCACTTTCATACCCATTCCTATGGGCAAAACCCACCAACCAAACACACCCATAATTTTATATAGATTTAATACCACAAATGATCATCTAACTATTTGGTTAGTACTCCTTTTAGTCCTCAACTTTCAATTCGACCATAACACATAGCTTGACTTTCATTTTTTTTACCACAAATAGTTCTCAGCTAAATTTTTTGTTAAATGAGTGTTAAATCTAAGGTTATTATTATCAAATCAATTAATATGATTATGATTACCTCTTTTAAAGAATTATGTATTTATGTGGATTAATTTAATAGGAATATAATCCATGGATTGCTCATTTGGCCTAATGTCATGCCTATGCCCAATCCAAGTATCCCAATACCATCAATTGTAATTGTTAAATAAATGCGTTTTGGAGAAACTTCCAATTGAGTTGGTCAGATAGTTGACTTGTAACGACAAGCTTTCAAGTTTGATTCTCCGTAAAAGTTGTTTATTGGTTTTCTTAATTTGAGCTAATAAGCTATGTGCAAGCTACTTAGGTCGGTTTAATTACCTCATTGTACTTTTTTTGTTTCTAGGTCACGGGATGGGTTTCATCAAGAACACACCTCTGGGTAGTTGATGCTGACTTTCAGTAAATTTAAAATATAAATGTATTTTGACAATATTAAAAAATAATTCTCTCTCATAGATTTTAATGAAATAAAATGCGATCCATCTTAACTATATATAAATAATAAATACTTTATAATTTCATAAATTAACTTTATATTTTGAACTCTTATTTATATATGTTACTATATATTTTTTTACATTTATTTATATATGAACTCTTACTATATATATGTTAACTTTATTCTACTGTTCATCTTTTGAGTGGTAATAAGATTCTTTATATACATTGGTTGTTTATTATTTCGTTGATCCTACCACAAGTTAAAAATGAAATCTACTCAATAATCAAATATAAATAATATCCAATCAAATATTATCACATAAGGAGATGAATATTATAAGATAAATTTAAGATAACAATGTAGTGTTAATCATTTATTATTTGTAAAAGAGTTTTTTAAAGCTTGTGTATTAAACTTCATTGGTTGGTTAATAATAAATTCTATTTTTAGATTTTCATAATAAGTATTTATTTATTATAATTTATAAACATATACCATAAAATTGTATCATCTATGAATTTGTTTGATACTATAATAATAAGATAATTGTACTTTTGAAATAATGATAAATAATTATCTTTTAGAGATTTTAATTTAAGAAGAATAATATTTAGCTTAACAATATATGATTTCTATTTTTATTAACTTTTATTAATATTTGAAATTAATTATGTTGTCATCATATAATTCTTAAAAGAGGTAATCATAATCATACTCAATTAACCCACATAATTTTCTAAAAGATGTAATCATAATCATATTAATTAATTTGATGATAATACCCCTAGATTTAATACCCATTAAACAAAAAAATTTTAACGGTGGACTATTTGTGGTAAAAAATGAAAGTTAATGTACAACATGTTATAGTCGAATTGAAAGTCGAAGACTAATTAAAAGGAGTACTAGCTCAATGTCAAGAGGATCATTTGTGATATTAACTCTTTTCATATAAGTATATATATAAATATATGTTTATTTATTTTTTATATTGACAAAAAGTGTATTACTAATTACTACCTCCGTCCCATTTTATGTGTCTGGTTTGGTTAACGAGGCTTGACTGAAATTATTTTAAATTTAATTTTTCATAATATTAAGTTTAGTATTAGTATAAAAGAATTTATATATTTAGAAACTACACTAAAAGTACTATTAAACAAAAAAAAAATCAAATTCAAAAATAAGTTTAAAATATTAAAGAACATAAACAAAGAATGGAGAGTTAGTTTGACCAATTAATAGTCAGTAGGACAGATAAAATGGGACAAAGGGAGTAGTATATTGTATAAATGATTTTTTATTGACTTATTGATTAATGCAATATGTATTTGACAGTTTATAGGAACTTATTACTTTATTAGTTATTATTGTGTTGAACAAATTAAAAATGCATAATGTATGTTTAAATTATTCAAATTATTTTAGTATACGCTTATTATCATTTTTTATATTAATTTTTATTTATGTTTCAAAATAATTGTGAATTTTGGCAGGCTTCACTTAGGCCTGTGGGCCTAAGGTGGAGGTAGGCCGGCCTTTTTTAGGCCCGTCCACTCCATGGCCCACACAGTTGTGTGGACCATACTATCAAATAACGTACATTCATTACGCAAATAATGTATTTTTTTAGTATATTAAAAATATATATTATATTTAGAAAAAAGTACATTATTTGAGTACTGAAAATACATTATTTTGTATAATAATGTTCATCCAATATACGAATAATGTAGTTTTTGTTTTAATTTGATCCACACAAAAGTAGTCTACAATATAATGAAACAACATATATAGGTCCGGTGTTTCTGATGGCCGGGAAACCTGGGAGTACTAAATTAAATGCGCTTAGATTTTTAGAAGTGAATGTGAATATGATGATGATGAATGGAAATGGCAATTTTTGAATTGAAACACGCAAATGAAATGATTTGAAATATGATATATAATTTGAGAATAGTAAGTTTATGTGGTACCTTGGGTAGCGGCAGATCAATGTGTTTGTAGTCAAGTAGGTATAGAAGATCTTTATCGTGGTCTTTGCCAATCGTTTCCATCTTTGAGCTAATGGACTTGATCTTATCCTCATAGAAAATGACCTTTCCAATATATACGCAGTCCAATTGTTTTTGTAAGAGATGTTTTCCTCTATACTTCTTCACCAGTGCAAAGTAGTTGGCAAGTGCCTCCTCGGCTTCATTCACAAGCATTCGGAATTTTTTCACAGCTACTCTCAAAACACGGTGTTCATTGGCATTTGGGTTCTTGCAAGCTTCCACTAGCTTCTTTTCAAACGCTTGAATGTGGGAGGTCATGTCATTTATCTCTGCAAGCACAGACTGCATTTTGACATTTTTATCTACAATTTGGACCAGCTTGTTTACCACCACCTTTATATCCTCTATCACTTTGTCAAAGACTGTCACTTCATCTCTCTGTACGTACGTGAAGAAATAGAAAATACAATTATAAGGTGTGAACTTGCTCGCACGGTCCGGCACGGATCATACACACATATATATATATATGCTATGGATCATGTGAGAACACTCCCATAAGAGATAAATAAGAACTAATCTCAGAATTACATCAATAAAAATTCGACAGGCCTGATAAGATTTTAAAAAAAACGACGGTATGGCAGCTTCGTAATTATCATTAATTTCACCGTCACTTAAATATACCATCTTTAAGAACTAAATATGCAAACTTGATAAATCCTATAAAATCAACGAAAATGACTAAATTTTAAATCTAAACTATAAATGTTAGACTTTAAGCAATAAAAAGTGATTCACTGGATCAAATAAAATAAAAAATTCAGCCATAAAACTCTAACATCGAAACCTTAATTGCAATGTACTTTCACATTTTTACAAGTACAAACTTTTAAACTAAATATGCAAAACGTTAATACTAATTAAATGTGCAAACTTGAAAAAGTCTAAAAATTACAGATTTTAGTGTTCACATTTGCATAATAAAATTGGTGATAATTACGAAATTGTCACCATATTTTTTTAAAAATCTGATCTAGTGCATTCAATTTCTTCAAATGTAAGGTCGTGATTGACTTGTTCTCATATATCCAATACCTATATATGTGTGTGTGATAAATAATTTATTATATATAATACGGTTTTTAATTTGTACGTACTGTGGAATGTACGTACCTGGAGAGATAGCAGAACACCGGTTTTGTACTGGTTGAGGGATTGAAGGTAATTTTCGTGTTCTTGGCGAATCGTTTTCACCTGTTCCTTAACAGACTTGATCTCATTCTCACAAGAATTAACCTTTACAATATTGCTTGGTAGCGGAAAAGGTCGCAAGGAGTCGTGTTCGTACATCTTCTTCCTCAGTGCAATGTAGTTGGCAGCCGCATCCTCGGCTTTATTCACAACAGTTTGGAAATTTTTCACTATCAAAACATTCACAGATGCAATTGGGTTCTTGTAAGCTTCCACGAGCCTAGCGTTAAATGTTTCGATTTCGGATGTCAGATCCTGTATCGCCGAATCGACGACAGGAGGAGGCCCCCGACTCTGCTTGACATTATTATTGTATGCCGCTACAGTTTGAACCAGCCTGTCTACCGCCTCACTTACATCTTGCTCAATCACCATGTCCATGGCTGCCGTCGTTGGTCTCTCTCTCTGTTAACAACATATATAATTAGGAAATGCATATATATATGGTTCCTGTGCAGTTGACCTTCTTAGGTGCGGTTGTCGGTTGTTTAGGTGCATGGTTTTTCTTCTGGTGAGTGATTTTCTTCTCAAGTGCCTGGTTTGTATCCTTATATGTTGAAACTTATGGTGCGTCAACCTAAAGCTTAAGGTGCGTAGTTTTCTTTCTTTAAGGTGTGTTGTTTTCTTTTTTAAGGTATGTGATTTGTATGCTTAAGGTGTGTGAGTTATTGAAACTTAAAGTGCACCATTTTAAAACCTTAGGTGCGTGGTTTGTGTTGTTAATGTGCGTGGTTTGTGTTTTGTGTACTTAAGGTGCGTTAGTCTAAGCTTTAGATGCACATGATTTGTGTTCTTAAGGTGCTTTGTTTGTGTGCTTAATGTGCGTAATTTGTGTACTTAAGTGGGTCATTTTAATGCTTAAGGTGTGGCTATACCAATGCTGGAAATTATGGAATTTTCAACCACCTAAAACTGATCTTAAATCAAGTCGAAAGCAAAAAGTGGTCGGAAATAGCAACAAAGGTTTTTTCGAATACCAAAAGTGGTTGGAACAAGGCTTTCGATTCAATTTAAGATCACTTTCAGGTGGTCGGAAATTTCATAATTTCCAGCAGTGTACCTACCTCTGAACTCTTCCCTATATATATATATATATATATATATATATATATATATATATATATATATATATGATATCTGAGTGCAAATTAAATGTCAAATTAATTAAAGACAATATAATTGAATACCTTTTCAAAGGTTATGACGATGAGCTTGATTCCTGTATCGTTTCCGACAACATTTTCTTTGATATCGTTTGCTGACTTAACTGCATTTTTACTCATGTGAAACAATTCCATTACCTTAAGGGTATGTACCCTAGAAAAACTTTCTGGAATTCTTTCTAGGGAGCTGCAGTTTCGAAGGACTAGAACTCGTAAAGCAGGAAAGCTATTATGTGTGGCCAGCTTCCAAGTTACTAGGTTCGTCCTTCCAATGCGCAAATATTGAAGCCTTCTGAAAACAACATTATTGCTTAGTTCCCAATTCTCCCCCTTGAATGCATAGTCATCCAACTTCAGCACCTCAAGCTCCTCCAACAACCCCAATACTGTTATATCTTTCCACTTAAACAATGTGCCGGAGAAGCTCAACTTTTTTAGCTTACATGCAAACTTGTCCAGAATAGGAACCGTTAACATGTTATCATACTGCCCATAGAGCTTCAAGTTTTCAAGGCACTTCAGCATTCCAAGATTGTTGAGCAAGCAAATATTATTTTTCTTTTCCTCTAAAAGTTGGAATAAATTCCCACGAACACCCAATTTTTGGAGATTGGGGGTTCTACTAAAGATCTCTTTTGTGCAACTTGTTGGTGATATTGTAGAAAGTGTGCGGATAGCTTTTCCTCCAGAGTAATTAGTTTTGGGAGGAAAGGGTAATTGAGCAGAGGTGTTGGTGCGTACATGTCTTAACTTTTCCATGTTCCATATGCCTCCCTCAATTTGTAGGGTCCTTGATGTGGTTTTGATCACTATAGTCTCCAATTCACGAAGATTTTTGAATGATTCGGGGAGGAGATTGAGATTGCTTGTGATTGCAAGATACTTGAGAAGATATAAGCCATAAACCTCATTCGGCAACAAGTCACAGTGGATGGATTCAATATTCAACACCCTAAGAAGTGGAAAGCTGTTTGGGATGGTTGCTAATTTCTCTTGTGCAAAACGAGTCTCACTCTTTTGTGTGGAAGACAGCAACAAAGAATGGATATGTTTGCCAAACCGATACAAAGAACTCCTACTTTGGCTGTAGCAATTGGGGAACAAACCTGCAAATGATTTATTTTCTGCTGAATCATCAAATATGTCTGCAGTAAAGGAGTGGAAACCAAGACGGCGAGTTGATGATGAACAAGTATTCTCATCATCTAATCTTTGCTCCTCAACCATTATGTGGAATAACTCTTTCCTTGCAGCTTCGCTTTTGCAGAACTCATGCACTATGTCAAGGATGCGGCATGTTTTTATTTGACCATCTGCTCTTCTTCTTTCCACTACCACAAGGTTTCTATCAACAAGATCATTCAAGTATTTTTGAGCTTCAACTTCTACATCATCTAAAGGGTATCCCCACTCATTTACAGTCGGAATGAATTCTTCAGCTATCCACAAACGAACCAACTTCCATACAGCAATCTCATGTCCCATGGGAAAATATGCAAAATACAGGAAACAATTTTTCAACTTCTCATGAGGCAAATCATCATAGCTCAACTTTACTACCCCATGGTAGCTTTGGTCTTCTCGATTAATTTCTAGAAGCGGATTATCAGCCACTCGTTGCCAGTCCGTAGAAGTTGTACATTTGCGTAGGATACCAGCTACCACAACTAGGGCAAGTGGCAATCCATCGCATTTGTTTGCTATTTGTATCCCAAGCCCTTCAAATAATTCGTCACTACATCCCTCTGTACCAAAAACATTATTTTTAATTAGCTTCCAACCATCATCAATGCTTAACTTATCTAAATGATGAGATTTCCAAGTAGAATCAACCACATTGGCGTGTCTGGTGGTCACCAAGATTTTACTTCCATTTTTGTTTTCAGGGAATGCAGCTTTTAAAGAATTCCAGTCTGTTTTTGCCCATACATCATCCAATATAATGAAGTATACTTGATCCTTTAAAAGGTTCCGAATTGTATCTCTCAACATTTCTTCAGTCTTGTTTGTCAAGTCTTCGGCAATCTTGGTAATTTGATATATGATGCTGATGAATTTCTGTTTTATATCACAACGTTTTGAAATATGAACCCAAATGCGAATGGAATTCCTGTGAATGCTTGAGTCTTCAAAAAGCATAGAGGCAAATGTAGTTTTTCCAGTACCAGGCATCCCAACAATTGGGATGACAACAAGATTATTGGATGCATGTGATAAACGAATTCTTACTTTTTTCAAATCTTCTTCAAAGCCTAATACTTCGTTTTTCTTAGCTATTGGTCGAGCCTGAACGTTTAAAGAAGGAACGAAAAAAAAAACATTACTGATCAAGTGCTAAGAAGATAATAACAAAGATTTAAATTCATTTGCAAGAAGAGTCAGAAGCAAGAATATGAGAAGTTGGTAGATATCTTCCACAAATGTATACAGTGCATACTATCTGCTACGGATGATATCACACATTCAAATTAAAGGTTGGCTGGGATTTTGTCATGATCTCGAACATTAGAGAAGAGAAATGAAAGGATGGAAGAAGGATTGAGGTGCAGGAGAGGAATCAGTTTCATAATCTAAGTATTGAAGAGAAGTCGAAGGACCAAAGCGACGTCATTTGCAGCAAGGATAACTAATCGTTATTACTTATTCAAACGACACCATTTGAGGATAGCCGTTGGGAACCGTTTGAATAAAAGGACGAGACGACGTCTTTGTAGATGGCCGTTGAAAGCAGTTGCAACGATTCCCTCAGGCAACGTCGTTTGGTGAAGAACAGCCTGGATTGCGCAGAGGTGAAAATCGTAGAGTTTGTTATAGATTCCTTTGGATGTATTAACATAGATTTTATATTATGTCGTTTGGGTTGGAATGTTTTTTATCATCTATGTTTTTGGACAATTTTCATAATCAAAATCCCTAAATCCCTTTCTTTTTCTCGAACCCTAGTTTTATCTTCTTCTTCTTTACCTATTTCTCCGTTCTTTTAGCTGCAATTTTTCTAGGTGTGCTATATTTGGTATCAGAGCCCTCTCATGGGAACCCCCTCTACTGCCTCAGTTGAAGAGAGGTTGAGCAGACTGGAAGCCTTGACTTCTGGGCAACAAAACCTTGAGAACTCCTTCCAGGAGCTGAAGGTCCACATGGTGGATTGGAAGGATGAAATTATGGAGCTGTTGAGATTGAATAGGCCACCACCAACCACGGACCAACCTTCAGTACAAGCTCAGGTTCATCCTCAGCAACCAAGCCTTGGTGAGGCAAGTGTGGATCCAGGAAGAAGGCATGGGAAGGATCCAGTGGTGGATGGTCAAGCTGACGATCAGGAACTCTCTGATGAAGAGGAAGGCTGTGAAGAGAGTCATTTTGGGCCCCAGGTGAACCCCAGGAACACAGACAGGCCATGGGCTCACAGGAGAGTTAACTTTGAAGATAGGACAGGATACCACAACCCTGGGGGTGAACCACTGATGAGGTACAAACATGAGTTTCCCTTGTTTGATTATGATAATCCTAGACTTTGGGTGATAAGGTGTGAAAGGATTTTCATGTTAGCAAGAGTCCCAGAGATGAAATTATGCATGTGTTGTGTGTAAACTTAACTGGAAAAGTAGCCATGTGGTATGAGGCATATCTGAATGGTCTAAGGGTAGGTTTTCATTGGCCTGTTTTTGCCAGAGCTGTGTGCAAGAGATTTTGTGAGAGTAATGTTGATGTGATGGAGGTAGGGCTGGGCACTTCGGGTTTCGGTTCGTTTTTTTTCGATTTCGGTTTCGGTTTCGGTTTTTCAGTTTTAAACAAATTAAACCATTCAGTTTAAAATAGAGTTCGGTTTAGGTTTCGGTTTGAAAAGTTCGGTTCGGTTTCGGTTCAGTTTCGGTGAAAGTCTACTATTTGAACGTTTCTTTTTTTGCCTAACCGATTGTTCAGTTGGCCACTTGTAGTGCCACTTGAAGTGTTTTGTTGATGACAATATGAAGAATCATTCATCTATAGTTAATATTTGAAAAATAAAAATTATTAAAACACCAAATGTTGGGACTTACAACTTGGAGTTGAGATTTGAAGACTTGAAGGAGTTAAAATTATTAATTATTATAATATTTATATATAATACTAGCATTTTGTACGCGTGATGCACGAAAATTAATGTCTAACATTACAAAATTGATAAATGCAAATAATTACAAATTATAGTTCAAATTATATTTCGCAATTCCTTAAAGTAGTAAATTTTAATCATCGTATTTGAAAATTATAGAGATGAACAAAATTTATATTTTTTTATTAATAATATAAACAATTTTGATATAATTTATATTTTGTTTTTACAATAATTAAATAATATATCTATAATTCTAATCTAGTACCTGATCACATATATTGGTACGTGTGTGTATCTTTATATATATACACACATATATGATTTACTATTCATAGAAATTTAATTAAAATATAATCAACAATTAAAGTAATTATATAATGATTTTAATAAAATGATAATTAAAGAATAGGAAAAAGATATCATAGTTAATTATATATATATATATATATATATATATATATATATATATATATATATATATATATATATATATAGGTGTATGATAATAATGATAGAATTATAAAATATTTAGAATTAAATAGCAACAGTGTAATAACGGTATAATGGTATTTTAGTCTAACAAGAATGTAGTACGGATAATTTTATTCATTATATTTGAAGTGTGCAACATTTAATGAAAAATGTATACCTTTATTACCATACAAATGTGAATATAGACATAAATGTGGCTATAGCTTAGTGGCTAAAGCTCTTAATTTATAAACAAATGTGTAAGGGTTCAAACCGAATTAAACATTTAATATAATATATATCTATAATTAAAAAAATATATATAGAAAACTGATCGATTCTTCGGTTTGAGGCCGAACTGAACCGGTTCGGTTCTAAACCGAACCGAAATACCCCTCCCTAGATGGAGGAGTTCTCTAGTTTTAAGCGGTGGGGGAATGTGGTTGATTTTTCTGATAAATATGAAGAGTATAAGGGGCTATTATTACAACATTATCCTACTTTAACTGAGCAGTATTTTTTAGACAGTTTTGTGGCTCAGGTGTTTTGTGAGGACCTCTAGACCTGCCAACTTGGAGGAGGCAATTTGGTTGGCAAGACAGTTTGAGAAATGACTGAAGGGGAGTGAACCTCAGAAAGCCACTACCCACTTTAACCAAAACCCAGCCTACACTACCCAAAGAACCCAGCCAACCACCAGAACTTATAGCCCTAGACCAAATAAACCCCAAACCAGAACTCAACCAAAACCACAACCTCTAACACCCTCTAGTCCAATGCTAGGTCTCCTGAAATCAGCAAGTTTAGAGATCAACTTAGGGAACAAAATAGGTCTTTTAAGTGTTTTGATCCTTGGAGCCCTGGGCATAGATGTAAGAGCCATACCTTCAACATCATAGAAGGCACTGAAATCCAGGAAACAGTTGAGGGATTCAGTGGGGATCAAGAAGTGGAAAATGAAGTGTTAGTGACACCAGAGGAGGAAGTAGTGGAGGTGACACTAAATGTTGTAATTGGGGGAGAAGGTATTAATACCATTAAGTTAGTAGGCTAATTGGTAGACAAACAACGACTATAATGGTGGACAGTGGGAGTACCCACAGCTTTGTGGACCCCAGGGTGCTTGTTCAGATAGGAATTGCTCCTGATAAAGCTGAGATCTTTAATGTAACAGTGGCTAATGGTGAGAAAATGGTTTGTGACTCAATTTGTAAGGGGTTGGAATGGCATGTGCAGAAGGAGAACTTTAAGAAGGATCTAAAGGTCCTTAAGCTGGGAGGTTGTGATATAGTCCTAGGTATGGATTGGATTGACTTCTATGCTCCTATTCAGTTACTCACTAGGTCTCCTGGAATCTCATTCCATAAGGAAGGGAAAAGGGTGTTGATAAAAGGCCTAACCAAGAATATAGTGTTGCAGCAAGCCACTAAGAAGGAGATTAGGAGGTGGAAGAAGGAAGGGGTACAAGGGTATCTTCTGCAAGGCATAATTCAGACCCTCTACACCTCTGAGGAGACAGAAAATAGACATCCTGAATTGGCTGCCATCCTGCATGAATTTCAAGAGATATTTGATGAACCTAAAAGCCTGCCCCCTTCAAGGCCATTGGACCATGAGATTCCCCTAACCCCAGGGGCTAAACCTGTTAACTCCAAGCCCTACGGATACTCTTACCTACAGAAGAATGCAATTGAGAAGATGGTGGATGAAACGCTTACAACAGGCATCATATCACATAACACTTCCCCTTTTGCCTCACCAGTGCTATTAGTGCCTAAAAAGGACAACACATGGAGATTATGTGTGGATTATAGGGTTTTGCATGGAATAACCACTAAGAACAAGTTTCCAATTCCACTGATAAAGGACTGGTTCTTAGAGTTGGCCAATGCAAGGGTCTTTACTAAATTGGATTTAAGGGCAGGGTATCACCAAGTAAGAATGAAGGAAGGGGGGGAGTATAAAACAGCTTTTAGAACACATCAAGGTTTATATGAGTTCAAGGTAATGCCCTTTGGGCTAACCAATGCCCCAGCTACATTTCAAGCTCTTATGAACTTGGTATTCAAACCACTGATTAGGAAGACTGTCCTGGTTTTTTTTATGATATCCTAGTTTACAGTTCCTCCTCAGAAAGTCATTGGGGGCATCTAAGGGAGGTTTTGGAGATTATGAGGAGGAATCAGCTATTGGCTAAACTTAGCAAGTGTTCATTTGCTAAAAGGGAAGTTGAATACTTAGGGCACATCATTTCTGATAATGGCTTACAAACTGATCCTGAGAAGATGTCTCCTGTGTCTGCTTAGCCTAAACCAGCTAACATCAAGGAATTGAGAGGATTCTTGGGCCTCACAGGATACTATAGAAGGTTCATCAAGTCCTATGAAACCATAAGCAGACCACTTACTGATATGCTAAAGAAAAAATGCATTCCATTAGAGTGGAAAATCAGAAATTGCTTTTGAGCAACTAAAGAAAGCATTGTGTTCAGCCCCAGTTTCGACCTTACCTGATTTCAACAAGGATTTTGTGGTAGAGGCTGATGCTTGCTACAAGGGGATGGGAGCAGTCCTTATGCAAGAAGGGAAGCCAATAGCCTATTTTAGCAAGGGATTTGGTCCTAAACATCTGGGATTATCTATATATGAAAAGGAGTATTTGTCCATAATCAATGCCATAGACAAATGGAGGCCCTATTTGTGTGGGAGACACTTTA